AACACGCAACAACAAAAGCAATGTCATTGACTGCTTCCGAGAGAGCGCGCTCACTGTCACCTGCACTGCTAAGCTCAAGCAGCGCTGCCATGGCCCAGTCGTGCAGCTCCCAATGCCCATCTCCACTCTCACCACTCATTGCACTGACTACGTCAGCTCTTGCGCTGACCAGCAAGGTGCCCTCTATTACAACTGTTGTTTCGACGATGACAACAACAACTTCAACGTCGGTAGCAAATTTGTGGCCGATAATATCATCGCAATTGAATTGTGTCTCTGCTGCCTCTCTCCCACAAACTACGCTTGTACAGACCGGGATCGATCGGTATGTACAATTAAAAAGGAAGCTTAGCCCACAAAAAACTAATGCAAACCTGCCGAAAGTATCGAAAACCTCAGGCAACAACAACAAGGCAACTTCTGAAAATAGATTTGCTATACTTGGTGACCTTGGAGAAAATGAGGGTCAACCGCCTCAACCCACCAAAGATGTAAAGCCACCCCCTATCTACATTAGGGAACACAATTGCTCGGAGCTTATTAACAATCTTAAACAAAAAATCGGGCCAAATAACTTATATATTAACAACCTAAAAAGAGGTAATATATCAGAAACCAAAATCCAAATAAAAAATGAAAGCAACTACCGCACTGTGACGAATTTCCTCGACCATGTGCCGGTAAATTACTACACCTACCAGCTCAAAAGTAGCAAAGGGCTACAAGTTGTAGTAAAAGGAATAGAATCAACCGTCTCTCCTTTGCCAGAGCTCTTCGATACTCTGGAGCATCGCCAGTGCCAGTAAGTCTTTCTCAGCCTGAAGTTTTGCATTCTCTCCAGCCCATACCAAGTCGAAAAGATGACTCGCTGCTAGAGCAAAATACCCAGCAAACAACTCAACCCACTACTCAGCAAAACCAGCTTCCCCCCACCAGCACATAGCGGACTTGAACACACACTAGCTACGCTTACAAAAATTATGCTATCGATACAAAGTACCCTGCAAGACCTAACGCGAAACCAAAATCTTCTTTTGGAGCTTTTGATTAAACAATCTAAATGAATCCCTTAAAAATATGCTTCTGAAACGCCAACGGCGTTTCCCAACACAAATACGAACTCCTTCAGTTCCTAAACAACCATGATATCGATATCATGCTTCTCTCGGAAACTCATCTAACCCATAAAAACAATTTTTATCTCACCGGCTATGTATTTCACGCGACCAACCACCCAGATGGCAAGGCACATAGAGGCACCGGCATTCTTGTCAAACAGCGCATAAAGCATCATCCTCAGGACACATTCGCTACTAACTACCTACAGGCCACATCCATACGTATCAATATAACCAGCGGTCCCCTCACACTATCAGCTGTGTATTGTCCCCCACGATTCAATATTCCAGAGAGTGAATTTTTGGGCTTCTACAACTCACTAGGTAACTGCTTTGTAGCTGCCGGTGACTATAATGCAAAACACCACTACTGGGGCTCTCGTCTTATTAACCCCAAAGGACGACAACTATACAATGCTATTATCAAACCTAGTAATAAGCTGGATTTTGTTTCACCGGGTAGTCCTACATACTGGCCAGCAGATCCGAATAAACAACCAGACATTATCGATTTTGCCGTAACTAGGAGAGTGCCGCCCAGGCTGCTTCGCGTTGGAACACTGGCGGAACTTTCATCTGATCACTCGCCTGTTCTTCTCTGCCTATTTGAACACCCACAGCTTGTAAAGCGACCACAATTTCTGACTTCCAATACTACAAACTGGCTAAAGTATAAAAAATACATCAGCTCTCACATTGAAATCGAACCCAATATCTCGTGTGAAGCTGACATTGAAAACTCACTTAAGCACAAAACAGATGTAATGTCCTCAGCTGCCAAACACTCTACACCTGACCCCTTAGCTACATCCCTCCCAAATACTATGCGTACAAACATGCAGATCCAATCGCTCCTTCAAGAAAAGCGTAGACTTCGCCGAAACTGGCAGACACACCGATCCCCAGCCATTAAACAAAGCTATAAAGAAGCCTGTCGGAATCTATCTAAAGCTTTAATAACTGAGAAGAATCAGGCTCAACGTGCGTATATAGCTCAGCTTTCACCCACTAGCAACAAATTTCCACTCTGGAGAGCGCACCCAAACATTCAACCACCTATAGAACCCGATTTTCCAATTCGATCACCAACAGGTGTATGGGCGCGTAGTGACGAGGAAAAGGCCAACATCTTCGCCTCTCACTTACAAAACATCTTCCAACCTCATCCGCCGACGAACCAATTTACTTTGCCAAATATCCCACCAGCAGAGCCTTCCTCCACAATCATTCTTGAAACAAGTACAGTCACAAAAGCCATTGCAGAACAGATGAATCCCAAAAAAAGCCCCCGGCCATGATTCAATTTCGCCTAAAATGATAATTGAACTGCCTGCATGTGCAGTTAAATGCATCACCACCATATTCAACTCAATTCTCAAATGGGGCTATTTTCCTCTGCAATGGAAAAAGTCCGTTATTACAATGATACCGAAACCAGGCAAGGACAAATCCCAACCTTTGTCATACAGGCACATTAGCCTCCTTCCGTGCTTATCAAAGCTATTTGAAAAGCTGCTTTCATGCCACCTAAGAACACACCTCCAAAACAACAGAGTGATTCCCCTGCATCAGTTCGGCTTTAGGAAAAAGCACGGAACTATCGAACAGGTAAATCGCATAACAGCTGAAATACGCACAGCATTTGAATACAGGGAATACTGCAGTGCCATATTCCTGGACGTGTCTCAAGCCTTCGATCGCGTTTGGATTGAAGGTCTAGTTTACAAAATCAAGACCGTCTTGCCACAAAACACCCACAAGTTGCTTGAATCTTACCTCAAAGATAGAGTTATTACTGTAAGATGCAAAAATTTCTTCTCTGAAAACCACAAAATCAAGGCTGGAGTACCCCAAGGAAGTGTGCTCGGACCGATCTTGTATGTCCTATACACGGCTGATATTCCCACAAGCAGTCAAACAATTCTATCCACCTTTTCTGATGACACAGCTATAATCAGTCGCTCAAAATATCCAAAAACAGCAACAGCTCACTTAAAAAAAATGGTTTGCAGATTGGCGCATACAAATCAACGATCAAAAGTGTAAGCACATTACGTTTACACTTAATCGGGAAACCTGCCCACCACTGTCCCTAAACAACAAACAAATCCCCCAAGTCCACGAAGTCACCTACCTGGGCATCCACTTAGACAGGCGGCTCACCTGGAGAAGGCACATTGAAGCGAAGAAGACCTCCCTAAAACTCATGGCCAACAGTTTCCACTGGCTCATCAACTCTCGCTCACCTCTTCCGCTGGAATACAAAGTTGTACTACATATATAACTCATGTCTAAAGCCAACCTGGATGTACGGGTCTGAACTCTGGGGAAACGCAAGCAGCAGCAACATAGAAATCATCCAACGAGTCCAGTCGAAGATACGGCGAACAATAACGGGGGCCCCTTGGTATATTCGCAACGCAAATATCCATAGGGACCTGGATATAAAACCCGTCAAAGAAGAAATTGATAGTAAAGCTTTGAAATACGAAAATAGACTATCAATACATCCAAACCAACTAGCCAGGCAGCTCAGGCGGCTCAGGAGCCACTCTCGTCTACAGCCCACTCCTGCCCAATTGAGGGCTATCGACCAATTAATAAACATAATATAACAAATAAATAATATAAATTAATAATATACAGTATAGGTTAAGATCTGAATTCTTATTGTAAGTCTCTTCAAGAGAAGATTCAATAAATAAAGATAAAGCTCAAAAAAAAAAAAAAAAAAAAAGGTTTTCGGCTCCAACTCTACCTTGAACATGTTCATAGCCTGTTTGACATTAAATCCCTTTTCTTTAAGTCCAGCTATGATCTCATAAGTAGGGACTGTTGCTTCGATGCCTTTTATAACTACTTGTAGTCCTTTGCACTTTTAAGTTGGTAGGTGTAGTAATTTATTTTTCCGTTGTCAAGGTGTTTGGCAACAGATCGATAGTCCTCTTCGTTGTTCACTTGTATTTTTGTTTCATTAATGTTTCCACTTTTTAAGGATTTAACATAGAAATAGTTGGCTCCTATTTGATCAGTTATTTTTTTGACCAATTCAGAACAATTTGCCTGACGTACAAAGATTGGTGGTAGCCTTAGTTGCTTGGTCTGAGGTTTTTGAGCGGTATCATCTTCTTTTGGGTCACTCAAAATAGAAAATCGGTTTCTTGTTAACGCATTGTTTGGAACAGTGGCTTCAACTTTCTTCGTGACTTTTGATGCATTTGTTTTTTTGGCTGCTTGTGGGCTTAATTTTCTTTTATTTGCACGTAAGGATCGATTCCTGTTTGAATTAACGACGATCCATTAACATTTTTGTTATTTTTGGGTTGGGTATTGGCTAGCTTGTCAGTAAGGGCTGACGAAACAGAAACTGCAGTTGATGTGGTTGTTGTAGTGGTTGTTGTCGCCGCTAGTGTCGATGTCCCCGTCTTAAACGATGGCATTGTGCTGGTCGTTGTTGTTATCAGCAGATCGTTGGTAATGTTGTAGGGGTCGGGGGACGGGCATTGGGCACTCCACGGCTGTTTTTGTGATGCGCCGCTTGGACATAATAAGGCGGGAGAGAGCGAGCGTGCTCTCTCCGTACTCACTTTTAGTGTTGCAGTTGTTGTCGGTTCTAACTCTTCCGCTCTTATGGAGAAGTAAGCGTTGTTTCTAATTGACAAGAGCCGACGTTCGTTTTGTTGTTGTTGCCGAGCCTTGCTCATTATCGCTCTTCGTTACAGAGCTGGTGCTCTTAAACTTTGGCTTTGTTTATGATCAGCTGTATTATTGTTTATTTTCGTAATTTGAACACAACTTGAAATAATTTCATAGGCAACACGAGTACATGTACCCATGCGTTACCTCAGCGTCTTTTCGCGAAATGGAATTCGGCTATTTACGATGTATTTTTAATTACACGGCGGAGCGATATAAAAACACGTCTGTTCTCATTGACAGTAGCAAGTTTCTCAAAACTAACGAAACGAACGAAAGGTGAATGTGAATCAGTTTAGAGTTGCGAAAAAAGAATGATAATAAAGATAGAGAAAACAAGATAAGCAAAGTTAGGTGCGATTGCAATTAGACGGGTGTTGGTAAACAACTTAACGCTCACCTTACGTTACGTTACATTAGCAGTTAGAGTTTGAATTTTGAATAGAATTTACAAGTTAGGGGTTCTGCTCCGAACATGCTCCCCCCGCTGGAAGAGTCACGCTGATAGACGAGGTGGTCTCAAAGGGCAGAAAGGGCCAACTTGCCAACAGCTCTTCTGATGATGCCTGCAGCGGTTCGAATAACTGCAACACGGGCCACGCCATCTGGTTCAAGAACAATGCTCTCAACTCTGCCCATGCGCCATTGGAGTGATGGAAGATTGTCGTCCTTAATGATGACTATGCTGCCGGGCGCCAAATTTGCCTTTTCTGACCGCCATTTCCCACGTTCCTGGAGTAGCGATAGGTGGGCGGTGCTCCACTTGTGCCAAATCGCCTGCTGCATCTGGCAAACTCGAGATGGGTGATGTCGGGTTCGTCTATGGCGTTGAAAGCAGTGCCAATAAGAAAATGTCCAGGCGTGAGAACCTCCAAGTCGCTAGGATTCTCTGAAATGGGGCAGAGTGGTCGAGAGTTAAGCATGGCAGAAACTTCACAAACGAGAGTACGAAGTTTATGAAAAGTTAAAAGCGATCTTCCAACCAGTCTATGAAAGTGATACTTGGCCAGTTTGTCTTTCCAAAGAATTTGCAGAAATATTTTGAACTTGGTAACAATCGGTGCTATCAATCCGAGAGGGTCGTAGAACTTGGCAACGGCCGATAAAATCGATCTTTTCGTTGAACCGCTTTCTGACATAGTTCCAGACAATGAGAAAAGCAAGTGATCCGATTTTGCATCCCAATATAAGCCGAGTGTTTTAAGGACATCAGTTCCATCATGAATTCTGAGTTTTTTCTCGCGATCAACTTCTGGCTCGCCTTTCAAAGCTTCTGCCTCATTTGAACACCATTTTCGAATTGGAAAATTACCCTTGGATAGCAATTCCTTCACCTGCTCACGAATTTGAGTTGCCTCCTCCGGGATCATAGGATAGCTACTGCATAGCACGAATTGCCAGAAATGCAGCCGGCTTAGTGCCGTAGGTAACCGTATCGAGCTTATAAGCCTTGACTTGTTGATTTGGGTTGTCACGCCATAAGATAGACTGCAAATAGTTATCAGGGTTAGTGACACGGACACATCGATACATTTTGCAGATGTCCCCGCATAATGCAACTTTGAAAAAACGAAAACGAAGCAGTGTGTTGAAGATTTTGGGCTGTATTGAGGGACCTGCAAACAATAAATCATTTAATGAGTATCCTGAGGTCGTTTTAGCTGAGCCATCTAATACAACTCGAAACTTCGTGGTTGTACTCTCTGGCTTCTGCACACAATGATGAGACAATTAATATCGCGAGGTTACTATTTGCTCAGAAGCAAGTGACATATGCTGTAGATTAATATATTCTTTGATGAATACAGCGTATTGCGACTTCAATTCCAAATCCTTGAGCAATTTGCCCTCTAGCGTCTTAAATCGACGTAAGGAACGACCGTATGAATCGCCGAACATATCAAAACTGGCTTTGGCAACGAACTGAGTACTGTCCTGAACTGAGTCGAGAAAAGGTATTCTGGAATAGCAAAACCGTTTGACGATGTCTGGCAAGGAATCGGTTTCCGATTGGATGACGGGCTCAGTGGTCACCGCAAGTGCTGAACGCTTGAAGTTTGAGAACGAAATCCCTCCAGATGCGATCCAGCCAAGACGCGTTTTTTGCAAAATGGGCAGATTTTCGGCTAATCGCATTTGCCCAACGCAAAGCAATTCGTAAAAGATGCCAGCTCCTATCAACAAATCGATACGCTGACTATTGTAGAACCACGGATCAGCAAGAACAAGATTCGGTGGTATGTTCCACCCTAGGGCGTTTAAATCGAAATGAGGTTGATAATCCGTAATTTTGCCACTAATTACTGCTGTCAGTGCTGTGCGATATTTTCTATCCCTGGAGTGTGCTTCGATATCGGCGGTTGCGTTTGATGAAAATGATGATTCACCAACTCCAGAGATAGATGTGTTTGCTTGACGAGTAGTGAGTTGCAACTGCTTAACAAAACGAGAAGTGGCGATGTTGATTTGAGACAAGAATCTAACAAGGCTCTGCAGGGAACAAATGCACCAGATCGATTTCTGATGTATACGATGGCAGTGGCAAGCAGCACATAATCGGTCTAAATATCTGTGGGTGTGGCGATGGCGTTAGAATCGATGTGAAGCAACGAATTATGCTTCGAATGGCAGCGTTTGCAAGAACCAGACTTGCACTGTTGCATACCATGGCCTTTGCGCAAACAATTTAGACAGAAGTGCAGCCTTTTAGCGTCCTTATTTTCCAAGATGGGATTGAGGTTTAAAAACGGAGCGCATTTAGAAATGAAATGATCTCTACTTTCACACATGCTACATGATGAGGTATTTAATGATGATGCTACGAGTGCGTTATGAATATTTTTGTTAGTGTTTGGTTTTCCCACCTGTTTGCTAGGTGTCTGGATTACCATAGCGTTTTTAATATCCTCCAACATGCGACACTTCTTTTCCAGTAATGTAGCCATATCTTTCCACTTCAGCAGCTTATTTGCCGACAGACCCTCTTCCCATTTCTCTCGAGTGTGGCGATCCAACTTCGAAGCTACCATATAAATCAGAAGACCGTCCATGATCTCTTGTGTCGTTGCCATGGTATTCAGCGCACGCGATGCGAATTCATCTGGTCGCTTAAGCGTCGTAAGCTTGCTGCCGATCCTTGCTCCACACCTGAAATCCCGCAGATTGACCGTACATGTGCCTGAAAATGAAAAAGTTTGTTATCGAATCTCGAAACTAATAATTCAATAGCTTTTTCATAGTTAGCTTCCGTGGGCTCCAGTGAACGAATTGTGTCCAACGCTGTGCCATCCAAGCATGATCGAATATACTGGAACTTTTCCACGTTGCTCAGGTCATCATTATTGTCCACAATGGTGTTGTACATTGCGTAGAAATCAGGACAATCGATATAGGCACCGCTGAACATTGGCAACTTGAACTCTGGGAGTCTTCTGGCACGCGCAGCCGGTCTCGAGTCATCACAGACATGTGGAAGGGCCGTAGAATTCACGATTGAGAATCTACCCTGCTTGCCAAGCTCACGTGAAATTTGCGATTTTACAGCGAGGTAGATGTTTGCGAACTTTGACCGAGCGTCACTGTACAATTCATGCAAGTCTAACCTCTCGACTGCGGTTTGACTTTTATCAAAGTCCACTTGCACTTGATCGACAAAATCAAGTCGCACTTGAAGATCAGTCACGTCGAAGTTGACAGCCTGATCCGACTCCAGGTAGCTTTTCAAAGCTTCTACCTGTCTTAAGGTAGCATCAGCCTTTGCTTTATAAAAGTCCAAGCGTCCAAGAGAAAATAGATAAGCGGGCCAAATAATACCCAAGCACAGGAATGTATGTATGTATGTTTGTAGGCCTCTTCACCGAATTGCGAAGTGGTGTCCAAATGCACTGATAGGCCTTTTCACCGATTTGTGAAAACGAAAACGAAATAAAAAACACACCCCACGTATATCACGTCGGGGTCACCAAATATTTAGAGGACTGCAACTAATTTGTTGCTACCGCTTTATGCACTTTTAAAAATAAGGCCAATGTTTTGTGATTAGATGAGATGTGTTTTTGTATTTGAGTTTCTGAGTATTATTTGGTTTATATTTATGTATTGTACAAAGTTTATGTATTTTGCGCATACAAGATCGCGACCGACAATTTGCTTGCGAGGGTGTAGCAAGAACGAACGAAAGTTGAATGTATATAAGTTTTTAGTTGCCAAAAAAAGAATGATAATGAAGATAGAGAAAATAGATAAGCAAAGTTAGGTGCGATTGCAATTATACAGGTGTTGGTAAACAACTTTACGCTTACGTTACGTTACGTTAGATTAGCAGTTAGACTTTGAATTTTGAATACAGTTTACAAGATAGGGGTTCTGCTCGGAACACCTGTAAAGACAAAACCAGATGACAACAATTTTAAGAAGGAAAATCGCAGAAACAAGTTATTGGCACGATTCAGTAAACACACTGTGTTGGAAGGTCTAGGCGACACCTTTATTACAAAGAAACATCAAACACTGCATAAGTCAAAAATTAAAAAAAAAAAATACATGATTCAAATAATGACCTTATTTAACCATTTACTCGGTCCTAAACCCTTACAGCCAGATGCACCACTCCTTAAAATCAAGTTAGGGGAAGCCACGCTTATCAGAACAAAAACTCTTTCACACGTTGTAGATTTAAACGACTGTCAGAAAAATATAGATCAGATACAGACAGCGTTGAATATTCTCAGAGACGTCACATTTTCAGAGGAACCGTACAAATTTTAAATTCAAAGGTTCGAGATGTATATAAAAAATTATCGCAAGAACATTAGAATTACCACAATAAACTATACACAACCATAACATAACATTTTCAATATCGACGAAATATGCACCAAAATCCATAAAAAATACTTCTGCCATGGCGACGAAGTCTCTCACAAGTTAAGTAAAGCATGTTTAGAGAGTATCTTAAACGGAAGAGCAGCAACATGTGAAGCCAAGGAGACTACAGCGGATGTCAACACCAAAAATGTATGGTGAAAATATAGGCGAGTTCACCGGGGACCTTGAAATATTTATACATACAAGGGCACCACTTTTTGTCAATGAAACTACCCAGGAACTGAGCCACATACACTTAAGCTTGTGAATACAAGCAACTATTATATACAAAAAATTTTAAAATCAGAAATTCCACTTTTTCCCACCTAACTTATACATATGCTTGGCTGGGGATTACAACAACTGGAGTAATCTTATTAATGATCCTGAAGTGAAAAACAACGTACATCATTTCCGCAGAACCACTAAGTAGTCACGCTATAACCACTCCTTCATAACGCGACCACATGCGTCCATCGAGTTGCACGATTTTGCGATACCAGCATATATATCATATATATTTGCGGTCGGAGGACAATAAGGGCACAAAAGCTTATCTTCTCTGTTCTAAGTCGAGAGTAGCCCACTTAAAAGCCTTTACAATTCCAAGATTATAACTTTCAGCAGTACTTTTATTGGCTGAGTTTGGCATAAACGTCAAGGAAACCATAGATTTAGTTTAACGTATTTGTATCCAACCGAATCGCAAAAATTCAGGAGATAACGAATGGATTGACGTTGCATTCCAGCTAATTTAAGTCCGATGGATGTCGTGTCCGAAACTGTACCCTTAGAAAATTGCTGGAGCAATTCCTTTGGGCTAACAGGCCTCATTCCTTCTGCAAATCTCGACGAAGTGGCCCTGCCAGTAAAGAATCTTCCGTAGCGTCGTTCCGCGACGCTTATTGGAACAGTTTTCGTTGAAATTTCTATCAACTGCAGTTCCTCAACTCGTTTGATAAGTTGCAGCATAAAACTTTACCTTTTAGATGTCGTTTTGCCATTAAAGAGATATACTTGGGGAACGTACGTCTTCTGAGGAGCAATTAACCGGTTCACTTATCCAGGGAGTATAGATTTCTAGTATGTTTGAGGCAGACCGACAGCGCCTAGTTTTGCTAAGTGTACCACTGCACCTGCAGCCCTCTTGTCCGACACAGCTCGTTTTGGCAGTTGAAGCTCAGAAGAAAGCAAATAAAACACGTTAAGAACCTATTTAGCATTTATTTCTTTTATCAAGGGTAAAATTTTTTGAAATTTTTGTCTTCACCATAAAAAATATTATATATAATATAATATATGTCTGAAACAGGGTTATTTCTTCTATTTTCACTAAACTTTTGTTATGTTTATTTGTTTATTTGTTCAACCCGACAAATCGCCAGCAGAGACCGCCACCGTCTCTGCTGCCATGCCTTTCTCATGAATCCATATACTTCGCCGAATTTCTTTCCCTCACTTACCAGCAGAGGCTGCTACCGACTCTGCTGTTATGCCTTAAGCATTAATTCTGTGCTTCCTCGAATCTCTTTCCGACACGGTCATTCCTGACCTATCACACGTCCCAGTGTGTTGAATTTCTAGATTTGCCAAACTAATCATTCTAACTCTCAATTTTAACTTATTCAGTGAATTCTCTTATTCAGTTACAAACTAAATGAGTCACTTTTCTCAAACAATTTCGACTTCATCAATTATTTCAATAATTCCTCGCTCACATAACTTAAATTTTGTCATTCAATTTCAATCATCATTGCCGTGCAACCATATGCACCAGGTCACCAAGACCTTCGCCATAACACTATTCGACCCTGCGAGACAGCTACTATACTGCGGCCAACATATCCGTGCAAGTCCATGCACCAGGTCACCAAGACCTCCGCTATAACACTGCTCGACCCTACAAGACAGCTGCTGTACTGCGGTCAACATTTCCCTCTCGGGACACAGACGCACATTCACTAGTGCCGCCTTCATGCTCTTTTACATCTAGGGACACATACTCTTGTGCCATCCACAGGCTCTTCCCTATCTGTGGGCTCATCATTACTTTGCAATTCTTCTGTTTAATTCGCTATTTAGGGGAGGGTGGTGCGATACCGACCCCCTAAATAGCAAAGGCGATAAAGGTGAGAAAAATCAATTTTTCAGTTCAGTTCAAAAATTTACTATGTAGAGGGATCAGTTTACTATACATCTAATTGATTAGTAAGTGCGTAGGTGCTTTGAAGCGTTAGATATTCAGGCAAATATAAAACTCCACTTTTTGGTCGTACTCAAAAGTAGTGGTCCGAAACCGACCCCCTATTTCTTAACAGAAAAATTTAATAACATAAAATAAAATTTAATGATTTTGACGTTTATAAAGAAATATATTGAAGGTTCTTTCCAGAAAATAAAAATTAATGTATGAAATAAAGGGCACTGTAGTCAATTGATGAAGTCTGAGTTGTCCCCTTTCTCATAGTAAGTTTTCGCGTTGTTTTTCGAAAGCCGCTCGTTGATGACTGTCTCTTCGCTTTCTTCTGATGTGTTTTGATGTTTCTGTTACTTTTCTTTACTGAATCTTGTTTACTTTTTCATATTTTCCCTCAAAAATACGCTATGACATATTAAGCTGCCAATAAATGGGGGTCGGTTTCGGACCATCACTTCGCGGTCGGTTTCGGACCACCACAACCTTTTCTAATTAACTGCTCGCCATTATCTAATGACGCAAAGAGCGATGTAATTCTAATAGCGTGAATGACAGCTAGGACTATCAACTATCAGAAAACCTTACCCTCCGATTTTTATGCGGAGAAAAAAAACTTTAAAAATATTTAAGCTCAAGTTCAGTAAAGAAAAAAAACTGAATGTCAGAGGCGTTGAAACAAAACAAACGGAAAAATTGCAGTGAAACAAAAGAAGTCAAATTGGCTATCTATCTCCAAAATGTCTGTGTTATAACAGCTTTTCACTGAAGTTACCGACAATTCGGCTAGCATCGCCATCTCTGAGAAACATGGGGGGGGGGTCGGTATGGTACGACCGGTCGGTATGGGACCACTCTCCCCTACCCAAAAGTTTATAATTAAATTACTTTATTTTAACAGACACCATTTGCAAATGTCTCTTAATAATATTGTCGCTACTTTCTCTAAATACAACTAAATTATTAACTCTTTTTCAGCAATTTTGTTAAATAACTTTCTTATTAAAGAAAACTCGGCGCCCGAATTAAAAAAAAAATGGAACGAACTCACCCAATTGATAGAATTAGATTTTGTGCTCGACATATGTCTACGCGCTTCTCTTTGTACTTCTCGTTTCCACTGGTACTACCTTTGGGGCATACAGGACCAATATGTCCAAGCTCACCACACTTGTAGCATTTTATTTTTGGACGATCCTTTACTCCGGACGAGCTGCTTTCACTGTCATTTTTCTCTATGGTGTAGGATGAGCTCTCCATTCGAGCGCGACATTGGGCGTATTTGTGGCCAATTTTTCTACAATAATGGCAATCTGCCTGCGACTGCATTCGTAGTTTCTTCTTATCCGAGCTTGACGAACATTCATCCTCTTTGTTTTTACGTTTCTTGAAGGCGTAAGGATGTAGCTGCCGCTGAAGTTCATTTCTCGTCGTCACATTGGTTGTGAAAACCCAACGCAGTAAACTATTGTCGATTTGTGCCATGTGGGCTAATGCTATTGACACCGCAATCTCTTCCAACTCCGTAGATTTCCACTTGGATAGTAAAAGCATAACTATGCGACTGCCATATTCAGCCAAGCTCTCTCCAGATTTGAGATGCCCGTTTAAAACATTGATCAGTACGGCCGCCGTTGTCTCAATGCCCACGAATCGCTGGATGAAGAGTTCCTTGAATTGCTTCCAGGTGATGCCAGCAAAGCATACCTGGGACAGCCATTGGGAAGCACTGCCCTCCAGCGCTCTGCTTAGCGCTATTACCAGGACACTGCCTTCCAGTACAAGATCTGCGAAGATTAAGTCGACCGTGGTGCACCATGCTGATGCATCTGCTCTGGTGCACCATGCTGATGCATCTGCTCCAGCGCCATCGGGATTAAATTTGGGCAGTGTCAGAGGCGTGATCTTCCCGTCTGATGCCGAAGCTTTCGGCGCCTGCATGGCTTTTATGATTTCCATGAGCTTTTTGTTTTGCTCTTCCAACGCGGCCATATAATGGGCGGAGTTGTGCTCTTGTGGCGAAGGCAATCCCACTTCTGATGTCGACACAGAAACAGACAGAATGACGTACACCTCTAGATCGATTCAGATAGTAACGCTGATCAAGAATATATATATATACTAGCAAACCCGGCCACGCGTTGCTGTAGCTAAAGTCACTGTTATATTACATTGAAGTATACAATTTAAAAAGAACGGTAGGTAAGGTAGATAGTCTTAAGTCTCTAATATTTATTATTTTAAACTATAAATATTTTCAATTTAAATTTAATTTAGCACTAATCGGTGCACAATATTTCTGGTTAACCTGTCTTTAGCTAACACAAATAGATTTGACGGTTTTCCAACACGTGAACATGCAACATATAGTTGCCCATGAGAAAAGCACGGACGGATTAGATTTTTTCGGCGGCATTTTAATTTATTATTATAATTATGTAACAATACCTACATGTATATTTTTTATATCTATAGAATTTTGAATAATGAAGCACAAATAACTAAAAAGCAGGAATGATTTCACTGTATTATCGTCACTATAATTTGAATTTGATTTACACTTCGGTCTACGTACGTGGTTGGCTATGCTAACACCAAAAATTAAAAAAGTAGAAATAATTGAATTTCACTCTATTTCGTTCACTACAAAATAAATTTAATTTATACCTTAACCTCAATAACACGTGGTAATCAGGCTATTGTCGGTTTACCATTGCAGCAGGGTTGCCAACTCTACGTCTTTTTACGTAGATCTACGTACTTCAAGCCTTTCTTGCAAACCTACAAACTTCAGTCCCAGAATCTACGTATTTTCTATCAAAATTGTTCATAGCAGTGCCATCTATTGTTTACTTACTCAATCTAATCGAAAAGTATCGACATCTATTAGATTCTTTTGGAGTTAACAGATAATTGTGACTTTCAATTAATTATAGACAAATAATTAGCAATAAAATAAAATTGCGACTATAATTAAAGATCTAAGCTATCCTATCTCTCAAGTTGGACCAGACTGCTCATGGTATGCCAATTAAATTTAACATCGGTTAATTAGTTTAGGAGTCCATCGTGGACAAACATCGTGACATGAGATTTATATATATAAGATGGGGTCTGACGCGTTTCCTTTAGTATATTGTAAGCGACTAAAATAAGAAGCTTAAATTGATTGAAACCATGTCAGTAATAGACGACTAATTTGATCGGCGCTCGTTAGTCACTGTATTGTCATTATTCGCATTTTGTTGTCAATGTTAAAGGTTTTCAACTGTCACTGTAACTGGAGAGCGCCTTTATTTTGTTTTTATTATTTTAAGCATTGCTAACGGAAGATCAGACGTTAAACAACGAAAAGAGAACACTAAAACAAAACCGTTTTTCTTTGCATTGGTACTGCGAACGGACTCGTGTTTGTGCAAGGTTCACTTTTAATGGTAGAAGGTGCTCCGTGGAAATCAAGTATTTTGCAAAAGAATTTTATTATCTTGGTATTTTTTAAAAATTGAACATAAGCCCTTTTTATGAATACATTGACAGAATGTTATATTTGCCGTTGTGATAACACTATAATATATCACGCTAAGGCAAAACTAGTTAAATTTTGACGAACCTTGAATAGTATTTCATATCAGTAGCTTGGTATGGAGTCAACACTTGATCACAATAAACTAAAGACTTCTTGGGACTGAGCACAAATCATAAGTTTTTAATAAACTATATTTGCCTATTTTTGTACTACGATAATAACTAAACAAATTTTCACTGCTTAAGGCTAAATGTTGATAATTACATTTTTAGGACAATTATCTAATTGTTAAATGATATATGTATTTACATCATAGGCAGCGTTGGCTCCCTTAAATTATTTGAGTACCTTAGACTTGAAATGGGCCCTACACGTAAGCGTTTTTTTGTCATCTGTTTTGTGATCATTTTGATAATTTGCTTGTTGAGAATATTACTCTGGAATTCAGCTCTGCCATTTTGGACTGTAAGTACGTTCTTGTATTATGCTAGGGATTTTCGCAATTAGCCTTATTCCTTATCGAATGCTGTGCTTATACATACACAGTTTGGCACAGTTTTATCGATTAAACTCGTTTTTGGTAATTGTTTACAAGTGCGGTCCACGCTAAAAACAGCTTAAAAAAATAGAGTAAAATATGCAAGTGTTGTGTTTTTTCTAACATTTCGAAATCCGTTGGCGGAAAGTGAAAATTTTGCACGGTTTTTTTTGTTATTAACAATTAAAGATTCGATTTGTAGTACAAATTCGGACGACTGCAATAATCGGCACATCACATGCAAATACGGTCACTCAGATCCGAATTTGTACTACAAATCGAATCTTTAATTGTTAATAACAAAAAAACCGTGCAAAATTTTCACTCTCCGCCAACGGATTTCGAAGTTTTAGAAAAAAACACATCGTTTCCATATTTTACTTTATTTTTTAAGCTGTATTTACCGTGCACCGCACTTGTAAACATTTACCTTTTTTTAGCTGTGGACCGCACTTATACACAATTACCATATTACCCAAGAAAGCAAGCTAGCTTCAGCGAGTATGTATACCCTTGCAGTCATCGAATTTATAAAGAAAACAGGATTTGTGCCCAATTTTAGTTTAATCTTTAAAATGTAAGCTATGAAATGTACCATACAAATGTACATAAATACATATATGTATGTACATAGTTCATCCAGGGGCGTACGCAGAAAAAATTCTGCGTAAGCCTCTAAGTTTATCTCTAGATTTGCAAATATTCCATAATTTTTTTTATTTCTTCAAACAAATATACGATAAAGTTTTTTGATCTTTATATAATAGGCACGATTTTAGTTTCCGAGGCGCCAAGATTTGACATATTTTGGTTAATTGGCCCAAAATAAACACTTTTTATTAACAATATTTTTCGATAGCTCCAACCGCTTACGAGATATCGAGCCTTAAATGTCGGATTGTAGTGCGGCCGTTACACTAGAAAATTTTTTTTAGAAAAATTGGCGGAAATTTTATTTTTATAAAATTTACTTTAAAAAAGTAATACAGCATATATATCAATGCAAAAGTGCGCGCGCAATTATATATTATTTTTTGAAGTAATTGTTATAAAAAAAAATTAAGCTAAAAACTGAAAAAAAATAAATAAGTGTCCGTCTTCGGAAAAATATGTGCAATAAGTAGGGGAATGTTGTCAGGGTTGGGTCATTGTCAGAGTTGGGCCATCTCAATATTTCGAATATTCGTTCTAGTACCTTCTGTTTGTGGGTGTCTAGAAACTTCTATCAGTCACTCGAAACTTTTCACGTGACCACTTATTTCGGGACTTCATTTTTCTACGTGTCGTTGTCCTGTGAAAAATAAGTGCTCGAAAAAGTTTTTTTAACCTGGTCGAAAAGGTGGAATAACACAAGATTACAACATGTCATCCGCAAAGTGAGCATAAAAATACGTTATATAGGTGTTATATTACAAAATACTAAGATATAGTTTCATTGATAGATATAGTTTGGCTATATCATACCATAATAGATTAATACCGCATGTCGTCAGGGTTGGGCCACTTTTGTAGTCAGGCTTGGGCCATCAAAATTTGTACATTTTATTCTTGTATTTTCGATTTTTGTTGTAATATTTAAGGTTTTTGTAGCAAAAATATGCAAAATAAATTAAATAGATTTCCTTAAAAAAATATTTCGATGGATTGAAAGAAGATGAATTATTTTTATCTTTTTCTTTAGTGTTTCTCGCTACAAACGAAAAAACAACTCTGAATAATTTGATATTTACTGTAAAATCCCAAATAATTAAATAAATGAACAAAATAATTTCAGAGTTACCTGTATTCAATTTTATTCCACCACGTTACGATATTGTCAACGATTTTCTGAAAGTGGCCCAACCCTGACTACATGGGCCAACGCTGACTAAATTTTTTTTTTTTTTTTCAAACGCCTATAACTTTTTTTGTTTTTGTTTTTTTATTCTCTATTTTTGGTGAACACTTTCTCTTGCTTGTACCTTTCCAAAAATGTATAAACTTATTCTGAATTGTCATTCGTTCAGAACTTATGGACATAGGTCAAAAAATGGCCCAACCCTGACAACATTCCCCTAATTTCGCCCGCTACCAGCCCGCACTATAATCCGACATTTAAGTCTCAATATCTCGTAAACGGTGCGAGATATCAAAAAATTTTCTTTATTAAAAAGAGTTTATTTTGGCCCAATTAACCAAAATATGTTCTCAAATCTTGGCGGCCCGGAAAATAAAATCTCCCAATATAATTTTTCCTTTCCCATAGGAGCCTTCTAATACAGTCGACTGACTTACATATATGCAATAACTACACAACTTTTGGAACAATTTTAGCGAAATAGCTTTAAGGTGGTCATTCCATGTGATGGGATCAAAAATCAATTGTTTTTCATATTCTTAACATGTCTAGAATAAGGTAGCTAAGTGATTTTTTCAAATTCCAAGTTTCCATGAGAAACTTCAAAGCGTTGAGTTGGAATTTTGAACTCGTTTTTCTCAAAACTATGTTTTTCTAATTTTCCACAATCGTATCTCAAAAAGACCTTGTCCGAATGACAATGAAATTTTCAACGAAATTTCCAAATTTAGATTTTTTTTTGCGAAGAACACACAAAAAAAAAGGAAGCTTTCGCAACTTTTATTTCAAATGTCTACAAAAAGTCAAATTTTTTTATTTTATATTCGTTTGAAAATAGTGGGTTTAGGCTTACAGATTAAAACGCCGTTTTTTTTGTTCAGATAAGCCAATCGGCTGAAATTGCGCACAAGTGCCAATCTCATTTATTCGAGTCCGAGTTGTTCAGAACGCTCTAACTTAAGTTCTGTATAATATTTTTTGCTCAAAATTTATATTTTTACTGTTGTATTACATTTTTATATTTTTTGATTGTTCATATGTTCATATGACCGCAATATGATATAGTCGACAGATTTTTATAACACTGTATATTCCAAAATTATGCTTGTCTGATGAAAAACAAAGATGTTATAAGTTTATTTCCTTTAATTCTATACAGATTTTTATATCTTTGCTATGGCATTTAATTGGAAATTCGATAGTAGTTAAAAAACACCATCTGTAAGAAATCAAGTCGATATTATCAAGTACAACGGAGTGATAACTTTTTTTTCGATCTCTCGTCTGGGAGCTTCTTGATATAGTTATCCGATCCGGCCCGTTTCGACTTATATACCGCAATGCAATAATTACACAACTTTTGGAAAAGTTTCAGCAAGATAGTAGTTTAGATAGAAACAGATAGATGGAAAGACGGACCGACATACAGACGTAATTCGATTCAGACCGTGTATACTTTATGGGGTCTGAAGTGTATCCTTCACTGCGTGGAAGTTAAAATACCCTTAGCAAGGGTATAATTATCTTGTCATTCACCGTTTTCATTAGGAGAACTTTGTAATATTTTTTTTTAATATAATTTTCTGCTTATCCGTTGGGGAATTATCTTCCTTGTTAAGAAAGGTTCTCACCTTGTGGGGGAAAAAATTTCAGATAAAAATTTTAAAAATTATAAGAGTTACAGGCCACGGTCATTTGAAGCCAAAACTTTAAAAGCGTTTTAGCCAAAAATATTGAAAACTGTTAATTTAAGAAAATGATAAATGAAAATAACGCGAAAATCGTTTTTTCAAAAGCTAATAACTTTTGCAATTTCAATTTGTTTTTTTGATCCTATTTATTTTATGCATAATACAGTTTCCACAGTATTGAAACCAATGCTGGTTTCCGAACCAAAAAGGCCTGGGCTCGATTCCGAGGCTCCCCGGAAAAATTAACGGCTTTTTTTTTCCAAAATCTCCATAATTTCCATGCTTTACCGCTCACTAAACAATAACAACACAAATTCGGTTCCCCGGACCCATACACCCCCTCATCCACGTACTATGGACACGACAATAAAACTTTGGCGCTAGGTGGCAGCCCCACCACTAGGATAAGTTGTTTCTGGCTTATCACTAGTTCTGTCGAAAACACCAAAGATTAATGAATCCTCTACAAGTTGTACAGACCCTATGCTCCCAGGTAGAGTGAAGAAGGTAAATTATCCCATAGGATAAATCGAAATATCATTCATTTCGGCGACCGTGAAAGGACATCATTGCTTTTGTAATAAAGTTCAAGTTCAAGTAATGGCTTACACTTGGCGTAATTTTGCAAGTTCGTTTGAGAAATGTCAACTATGGGTTTAAATGTTTGGCAACAAGATAACGGTCGCGCATCTATATTCTTATACCTAATTAATCTCTGAGAATATTTCAGCGTGGAGCAATCATATTCAATTTTACACTTTGCATCATTTCAAACGGCAATTGGCATTGCACCAAACCTTTGACCAAAGCAAAATGCAAATATTGGAGCACCTTTTCTCGCTTTTTACATATTTCGGCACTTCGTACATTTGCAATTCAGAGTTAGAAATTAGAATTAGAAGAAAAAGCCAGTTTATGAAAAGTACTTAGCCTCCAAAAGAAAAATGAAAATTTTGGAAAAGTGGCGATTAATTTCTCAACATAATCTCCTTTTAGCTCGATACACTTGTCCCAGCGATGCTCAAGCTTCTTTAACGCGTCTGAAAAATACGTTTTCTCGAGGTCTGCAAATTAGGCCTCTGCGGCGTCGACGACCTCATCATTCGACGCAAATTTCTGTCCAGCGAGTAACTTTTTCAAGTTTGGAAACCAAAATAAGTCAAACGGGGCCAAATCTGGAGAATATGGTGGATGGGGTAGCAGTTCGTAGCCCAATTCGACCAATTTGGCCGTGGCGAGGGCGGAAGTGTGAGCCGGTGCGTTGTCATGATGGAAAATCGCTTTTTTCTTCGCCAAATGGGGCCGTATTTACTGCAATTCGGTGGCGAATCGGCCCAATAATTTGGCATAGTACAGCCCTGTGACCGTTTTGGCTTTCTCCAGGTATTCGATGTACACC